TTACCGAGACCTCCCGGCCTCCGTTCTCACCACTACTGTAAAGGAAGAATCATAGCTAATTCTTCTTTGATCTGAGGGGTCCTCATTTAAGTCCTCCCATGGCTCCTTCACCACACAACAGTCCCTACCTACACGTCACCTCCTCCGGGAGGCCATCCTTGATCATCCCAGCTAAAACATACTATCAAAGAATAACAAAGGAAAAATTAAAAATGAAATCAATAAATAAAACATACCCATTCTCTCCTTCCCTGACCCCATTCTTTTTGCTTTCCTAACACTGATTGCGACTCAATGTCCTATCACAGATCTGTTTGCTGGGCACCTGTCTCCACTAGAAGACAGGCCCACAGGCCTGGTCTTCCTAGTTCTAGAGCAGCACCAGGAATAGTGCAGGCCCTGGAGCACACGCTGAGTGGAAGGCAGGATCAGCAGGTATGGTTTTTATCAGGTATTACGATTGTTTTGCATTGTTACTTGATATTAGCCCAGCTATCTGGGTTGGGGAGGGGTGGGCAGCAAATCAGCCCATTGACCCCCCCCCCCCCCCCATCTGTGCCTAAAGAGAACAGCCATGGGCCCTGGGGAACACAGTGTGAAAACCACAGAGGGAGGTGACCATCAGGCCTTCAGCATTTCTAAGGCAATGATTCTACTCAAGGGGGAAGTAGGAGGCATGTGAAACTCCCTGACTGGCTCTAAAATCTATCCCTGCCTCAGCCAGAAGCCTGAGAACCTCTCTTATGGCAAAAGACACCTGATCACTCTCTAAATCTGACCACTTTGCTCCTCAGGGTGGGCATCAAGGCTCTGGATGACCCAGCCCCTGGCCTCCCCTCCCATTCCCTCCCCCACTCACCCTGCCCTTGCCCCTCACCAAGCTTGACCACCCTGGGTCTGTTGCACTGTTGTCTCCCCGCCCCATAACCCAAGGCTATTCCTTCTCCTGTCTGCTTGTCAATCTCAGAGGTCTTCCTGACAGCCCATCTAAAGCACCAGTCACACCTGATTTTAATTCACTGCCTAGCCCCTCTCTTGACCCTGCCCCTTGTTTATTCACCAAGGGTCTGTCTCCTCTCACTCCATGGGGGTAGGGCCTTTGTCAAGTACACCCTGTATCTCCACCTGAAGCGAATGCTACTCCTCAGCTCCACAATGGCTTCAGGATCAGATCCATGCTTCTCCACTAGACCTACCAGGCTCTACGAAGCCTGGCCCAAATCCATGAACACTTCCAACTCTCCCTGCCCAACCTTCCACCTTACAGCCCTCAAAAAGCCTATTCTTCATCTGGGCCAAGGCCTGATGAAGAATACCCCTGGTGGCTGTGGTGAAGACTCAATAAAAAACACATGTAAGAAGGAAGAGGAGTTAGCAGAGGCCGACATCTGGAAAGGAGCTAGAGTTTTTACTTCGAAGGGGCCCTGGGCAGCAACTATGTGGAAGATAGATGGGCCCAGGGCACTGCCTTTGCCACTTTTTATTTGATTATATGGCCCTCCCACTCCCAACCCTCATCTTGAAACCGGAGATGCTCATTTTGGCCAAGTCTTCCTCCTGATGTTATCGGACAAGGCTCTGTAACCTGAAAAGGGCCTTCAAGATTCCAGCAGAAACAATGAGACTTACAATTGCTAAGCTATCCTAGGGCTCACCATGTGTCATAGACTCTTCTTCAATATGTTACTTGTTATGCCTTCCCAATTATGAATGCTTTCCACAAATTAGTCCATTAAATCTTCACAACAACCTATCAGGAACAGTTATCATCTTATGACACAGATGATGATGAAAAGGGGTCAGAAGAGTTGAGGAACCCACTCAAAGTCACACAACCAGCAAGTGAAAGGGCTAAATTTGAACCCTGTGTCTGATTCACTTCAATGCAGCTCTTTATAGAGGTTACAGATCAGGACACCAGATTCTTGGATCCTCACTGGGCCAAGCTGAAAGGCTGGATAGCAGGGTGCCAGAAAGAGCTGAGAATAGGGGTGTGTGTGTGGGGGTGGGGGGGGTGTTCGATGCCCTCAGTACTGCTGACTAAGCATTTACACAGTGCCAGGCACTCTTGGAGGAACTTCTCATGAATGAACTTCTTTAACCCTCACAACAGCTCGAGGTGGTTGCCGTTCGAGCCCACTGCACAGAGATGGTCACTGTGGCCCAAAGTCACAAAGTCAGACATGGAAGTGCCAGAACTTGCATACATGCCCACTACACCACCCTTGTGTAGAGACCTCTAACAAGGGTCACCCCTGCATATCACTGTCTTTCCCCAGTTCCCAGCACACAGCCTGCCCTGGGTTAATAAATGCCCTGGCTCAAACCTGAAGATGGACAAGCCAGGAGTGCGGGACTGGCTGCCAACAGAGGTGCTCACAGTAGCCCTAGGCTCTGCAGATGAGAGGAGGGAAACACCCTCAGGTGCAGCTGGCAGGGGCCAAGGCAGGAGCTTTGAGGTGACAGAGACCCACTCCAGCTTGGGACCCAGTGAGCTAGGAGTACATGACACCAAGGACAAGCCGACGGGCATTCAAACCCCGGCTTGACCCCCTAAGTCTGAAGGACCTAGGGCAAGGTAATTCCACCTCTAAGCCCCAATTTCTGACTCTGTGAAATGGACAGAAACACCATATTCACTCCTGGGTACAAATAAACCAATGCCCCAGTTACTTGTTGACAAGAGGCCAAACAGGGCCAGGGATTCACATCCCAACTCTACCACTCTGGCTGAGACCTGCGGCAAATCATTTCACTTCTCAGCAACTGTTTCCTCGCCTGTAAAACAGGTATCACACTTCTCCTTTTCTCATAGGGACCTATAAAATGGACACAACCAATACCCAGCCACAGAAGTATTCTGAGATTTAAATTATATCATGTGTGTAAAAGGCTTGCCACATGCCTGACATATGGTGAATAGTCAATAAACACTGGCTATTCACTAGCTCTGGAAACTATCTGCCTCTCTGGGCCTCAGTTTCCCCTTCTAAAATGGATCTTAACAACAGTACCTATGTTCTAGAATCTAGGGTGTGAGTGTTCAGCCAGTTAATCCATTGAAGCATTCTGAAGAGCATGTGGCACACAGAATGCTCTCCATAAATGTCTGCCATCAGTCCCATGGTCAGTGTTTTTATTGCTGCTGTTACCCCATCAGGCAATCCCTCTAAAATTAGCAGGAAACCAGAGAAACTAACTGCTAGAGAAGAAAAATTCTACAGAGCCCCCAGGGCTTCAAGGCCTAGAACAGAATCAGCAACAGTCCTCTCCCCAGAAACCACAATCCGGAAAGCCCACCAGTTTGGAAGCTGATGCTGTGGACCAGAAGCAACCGCCTGTCCCTCTGACCACATCACCAGCTCACAGTTGCTGGGTCACTCAGGGACTGCAGCCTGCCTTCAGGAACTCCAGACCCAACTGCAAAGATTACCAGGCAAGCCAAGGTCACAAGCTGGCCTGGAGAGAAGGGGCAGCGGCCTCCCATCTGGAGTTGGCTGCTCCAAGCACCCACCCAGCAGCCACAGTGAGAAAGCAGAGCCATGGGGAATTTGGCCGTCCCGAGTCCTTCCCGGCTCAGGCAGGGCCAGGGCACCCCCAACACAAGTCGCCTTGGCTATGCAAAGAGGAACAGCTGGGAACACAGTGCTCAGCCTCATTGCTGCCTAATGGTGAGGCCAACTGTTATCACCTGGTAGCGAGCGTAACCACGATGGGCGCCTGGAATGCTAACCAGGGAGACAGCCTCACTGAGGACAGAGGGGCCCGCTGAGTGGTTCCTTCAAATCCACGTCAACCAAGGTCAGGCCTTGACTAAACTCCCCATGCTTGTCTGAGGCAGGAAAAGGGGGTAAGATTGAATGGCAGCCCATGGAGGGCCTAAGTACTCCGGTCCCCGCCTCCTGCTGAGCCCAAGTGGCCTCCACATTAGAGGAAGGGGGTCCTCAGAATCCCAAGGAGCAAGATGTCCCCAGCCACCATGCCCTGGAAAAGGGGTGTCCCACCAAACATTCCTTCCTCCAAAGTCTTAGGCAAGCCCAGGAGCACAGCTCCTTAAGTCCAAGCTCAAGACCCCTTCTGCTCCCTAAATGAAGCCAAAAGCTCAGAAAACTTCCAACAGTGGCTTCTAAGACATCTCCCACAACCCATAAAAAGATCGAACCTGACACAGAGGTGTCTGTCCCAAACACCTTACCAGTAAATAGTGTGATAATACGAAAGGGTTCTGGGGTAGACAGCAGTTGTGTCCATCCAGTTCCCCACAAAAGTTAAGTTCAATAAGGGATGATCCTCCTCCAGCTCAGTGTGAACCCCAAGCCCCACCCACCAAACAGAGGGAGAAGCCCCTCCTGATCACTAGCGTTACTACCCTCCCCAAACACTGCCCTGACACCCGCTGGAGCCTGCCCTGTCCCTCACTTAGACTCCACACATCACAGTCCTTCTTAGATGCACGGCTGCGTTCTAAGGCCGGCTCCCCCGCAGCACCAATGGTATAACCCAGACGGCTCTACCAGGACCACACTCGGTACAGCTCCTCCCAAAACCCCCACCTCTCCCAACACGTAACTGGAACTGTTCCCCAGTCTCCGAGTAGGTACGGCCTCCTACGCTGGGGGAGGCGCGCCCCTACAATGGCTTTAGCGCTCGCCCACCAGGCACGCTCACACTTCACACCCCACGAGTTCAACCCGGAGCCCACACATGCTAGGGCGCGCGTCCCTAGCCCTTCAGTGGTTCGGTCCTCGCACTTGGATAGGCGGCCCCCCCCCGCCGCCGCTCCAGTGGTACGCCCCGCCGCCCCCGCCTCTGGCCCCTCAGGGCTGGAACTACCGCCCCCGCGCAGCCGCCCACTAGGTCCCGGAAGGGGGTGGGGGGGCTCAAGGGCCCGATCCCCGCCCGACAGGCACTGGTGGTACGGCCCAACGCGGCGCTGAGGGGGGGACCGGACGAGACCACCGGGGGGGGGGGCGTTCGGGGACACGCACTGGCGCACTCACCTGTCACCGGCAGCCGCCCAGCCTCTCCGGCGGGGCTCTACTCCCGCCCATCGCCGCGCTGCGCTGGGTCCCGCGCCTGTGTTTCCTGCCGGCGGTGGCGGCTGCGGCAGCAGCAACGCCTTCTCCGAGCCAGACCCAACGGCTCGCGCGGCGCGGCCCCCCCGCCCCCTCCCCCGAGCCCCCGCTTACCGCCCCGTCCCACCCTCTGGCCGGAAATACCGCCTCCTCCCGCCACAACAGGAACTGACGTAAAAGCCACGCCTAGACTCAGAGAGCGCTAGAGCGCAAGCGCAGGGAAAGGGAAGAGGCGGGCTCAGAGCCGAGCGCCTTCGCACAATAGGCGAATTGGGGCCGGTGTGCGTGGGGGATGTGCCTCGCGCAGGCGCCGGACGGAAAGAACGAACGGGAATGAGCAGGCGCTGATGCTGACTGACGCCGCTTTCCCCAGAGGCTAGCCACAGTGCTGTTTCCCGGCAGCCCCTGTTCCTTATTTGCATAGGCTTTGATCTCGTTTTACGCAGCGCTCGCTTTTCTTCCTGGGTTCAAGGCTCTTAAAGAGCCCTGGACTTGGAGTCAGGAGAGGTTTCCTTTTCAGTTTGTCCTTCATGGTTGAGCTCAGGCTCTGAAACCACACAAACCCAGCTTTGCATTTTCTTGCTCGGCAGAAGACTGGACTATTTTTTTCTGTGCCTCAATATCCTCATCTGCAAAATGGGCTATTGGACTATTTTATGTAAACAGAATAGTTGGTCAATTATCGGTAGATATTCTAGGACTCCAAAATATTACCTGCTCAATCACAGATGCAATTAAATATGGGATATCACTTTTTTTATGGGGTAACTTGGAACTACAAAGGCCTTAAAACCACCCTGCAAGAGGAGAGTTGCACAAAATTCTAACCCACTAGAGGTCCGGTGCATGAAATTCGTGCACAAGGTGGGGTGGAGTGCCCCTCAGCCCAGCCTGCACCCTCTCCAATCTGGGATCCCCAACCGCTTGCCTGCCTGCCTGCCTGATTGACCCTAACCACTTCTGCCTGCCAGGCTGATCACCCCCGAACCACTCCCCTGCCAGCCTGATCAATGCCTAACTGCTCCAGTGCCAGCCTGGTCACCCCTAACTGCCCTCCCCTGCAGGCCTGGTCCCCCCCAACTGCCCTGCCCTGCAGATCTGGTCACCCCTTACTGCCCTCCCTTGCAGGCCTGGTTCCTCCAAACTGCCCTCCCTTTTAGGCCTAGTCCTCCCAAACTATGCTCCCCTGCAGGCCTGGTCCTCCCCCTCTTCCCCAAATGCCCTCCCCTGCAGGCCTGATTGCCCCCAACTGCCCTCCCTTGCAGGCCTGGTCCCTCCCAACTGCCCTCCCCTACCGGCCATCTTATAGCAGCCATCTTGTGTCCACATGGGGGAGGCCATCTTGTGTGTTGGAGTGATGGTCAATTTGCATATTATTTCTTTTATTAGATAGGATGTACCAGACAGCTGTGAGACATCTGACTCTAGACCCTTCTCTTGTACAGTTAAATGGAGCATGTTAGATTGTGAATTTGTGTTCTAGTATACCACACAGCTTGGCAAGTATACATTGGTTAGTGCATACTTCCCCTAGAAGGCCTGGTTGGGATTGAAGAATCCTGGGTTCACCTAAGTGTGAGAGTGTCTTGCACAAATCCTGCTCAGGGGTGAGCTTTAGATAAACCTAATGCTGGAACTAGCCCTTAACTACGGGTTTCCAGGTTGGAACTCACTGCCCTGTATTCCTAATTCATGGTATTGCCCCATCACAGTGTTAACTCTGACCAATGCTTACGCCACCACAGCCCTAACCATTTCATCTACTATGTGGTGACAGGTTTCTCTCCTTCACTACAGAGTCCCAAGACTGAAAAGACCAGGGCAGTCTCAGCCATCACTGTGTACTTAGCAAAGGGCCTGGCACAGAGTGGGCCCTTAGGGAATATTTGTTTCAAGAATTAGCCCTTCTGCTCCAATCTAGACTCAAGGTTACTGTGGCCTACCCTCTTTGCTCCTCTGCATGCGGAATGGCTCACAGCCCATTCCCCTACCTCTGTCTTCTTGGGCAATGCAAGTCCCAGACCCTCCTCGGGCACAAGATGGATTACTTCACTGAAAGCCCAGGGCACTTGTGTATAAACCGTTGGGAGTCCTAGTAGTTATGACTTTCAAACTATTTTAAAGCCTATTTTAATATAGATATATGTGTACTTACAGTATAATGAAACAAAAGTCACCAAATACTATTTACCCTTATGAATGATGCTCTCTAATATTTTTTCCAGTGCTGTTTGAGACCCTGTTGAACTGATTTTCTGACCCACTATTGGGTCATACTTTGAAGTTTGTAAAACCACTAGTTTAAAGGTGAACAGTTCACGGGCTTTGGAGATGGACAGATCCTAGTTCTCCTCCTGCCTTTCTTTTTTTTTTCTTTTCTCTTTTAATATATCTTATTGATTTTGTACAGAGAGGAAGGGAGAGAGATAGAGAGTTAGAAACATCGATGAGAGTCATCGATCAGCTGCCTCTTGCACACCCCCTACTGGGGATGTGTCCGCAACCAAGGTACATGCCCTTGACCGGAATCGAACCCGGGACCCTTCAGTCCCCAAGCCGACACTCTATCCACTGAGCCAAACCGGTCCCGGCTCCTCATGCCTTTCTTATGTCCTTGTCAAAATAACTTCACTTCTCTGGCCCGGTCAGCGAGCTCAGTGGATAGAGCGCCAGCCTTCAATTCCTGGTCGGGGCACATGCCCAGGTTGCGGCTCGATCCCCACTTGGGGGAGTGCGGGAGGCAGCCGATCAAAGATTCTCTCTCATCATTGCTGTTTCTATCTATCTCTTCCTCCCTTCCTCTCTGAAATCAATAAAAAGTATATATTTTAAAATACACATTTAAAAAAATCACTTCTCTGAGCCTACCTTTCCTCATTGCAAAATATCAATAGAATTTATTTAGCAGTTGTTATGGGGCAGGTTCTGTTCTTAACAGAGTCCTGCTGGTGCTATCCTGTTGCTCTCAACATAATCTTAGAGTTCGTGCAGCAGTACCCGTCCCAGGACCAGTTAGGGGTAGAGGTGGGATTTGAACCTGACAGTCTGATATAAGAACCTGTGCTTTGCCGGAACCGATTTGGCTCAGTGGATAGAGCGTCAGCCTGTGGACTGGAAGGTCCCGGATTTGATTCCGGTCAAGGACATGTACCTTAGTTGCGGGCACATCTCTGGTGGGGGCTGTGCAGGAGGCAACTGGTCGATGTTTCTCTCTCATTGATGTTTCTAGCTCTCTATCCCTCTCCCTTCCTCTCTGTAAAAAAATCAATAAAATATATTTAAAAAAAACACACAAAAAAAAACACAAACCTGTGCTTTGCATTTATATCATGCAGAACAATGGGAAGTATTGGCCTTACTCTTGTCCCCTGTGTTGCTTTGGGAAACCACTTAATTATCATACTCAGCCTCACTCTCTCAATTTCCACATCAAGGGTGATTGAGGAGAAAATTCCCTAAAAACACAAATTGTTCTCTACTCTCTAATCTGTTCTGTGAACTTCCCTCCCATAATTATAAATATGGGCTGCCTGGGCATTTTTCTGGGGAGAAGGATTGGTTAACTTCTCATCTGAAGTCTACTCAAAGGCCTCTTAATTCAGAAAAAAATGACTTAAGGGTCCTGCCTTGAGGTATGAAGAAGGCATCTCTTCAAAGCCCCTTTATGTCCCAGGGAGCAGGCCTCAGCCCCTGGAATCCAGTTCAGCCCTTCTCACAAGAGATTGGGCTCCCAGTGGAGACTGGGCAAGCTGCACGGACCAGACCAGCTCTTCGGATCCCCAAGTGGGGAGGCTCCTACTCCATTCCCAGGAGGTCTGGGGGCCTATCCCCGGCGGTGGTGGAGGTGGCCATGAGGCGGGAACCCTCCCGGACATGTGGACATGCAGGAGATGAAAGCAAGAGGAATGAGAAGTCTCCTTTTCTTCCTCTTACATAGAGCTTTTTCAGGGGAGAAATCCCATAGTATTGATCAAATTCTCAAAATCTGGCACTGTTAAGAAAAGGTTTTTATTTAAAAGCATTTCCTGCATCATACAGAAATGCTGAAATATCTTTGACTCCCCAGCCAGAAGTTACTAAGTTCCACCCTAGATGCTACTCTTTGGGGAAGATCCTTTAAAGTCATTTTAAGTGTTTGGCAGAAGTACAGATAAGGCTCAGGGGTTCTGTAAATGTTGGTTCCAATTTTCTTTTTATGAAATATGGTTCTATTTCAAAAATTGTAATAAAAGACACCATGCACATTCAATTTTTTAACACACAGTAGATTCCAGGACATTTTGGTGGTTGTGCTATGTTAATGCACTTGGGGCAGACCTTAGAATAAAACTCTTTCTCCCCTTATTAAGACTGAACACCTGTGGATCTGCTCAAAGTCATAGATGGCTTCCCATCCCAGGTGGGATACGAGCTAAAGACTTCACCAGGGCCTTCGGGCTCCTGTGATCTGCTCCTGCCTATCTTTCTTAACTTCATCTTAGGCTTCTCTTGCCCTTGATCACTATGTTCTAGGCACACTGGCCCCTCCTATGCCCCTCTAAGAAGACAAGTTTATTCTCACCTCAGGGCCTTTGCACTTACTGTTCCTTTTGCATGACTGGCTCCTCCTTGTTTTTCAGTACTCAGTTCAAATCTCATCTCTCTGGGCTTGCCCTAGCCATCCCAAATCCAAAGAGCCAGGCTGTCACTCTCTCTTTAGACTTTCTAAATCCCCTACCTAGCATTTAACACTAAATAATTATTATTTTTGGACAAAACCGGTTTGGCTCAGTGGATAGAGCGTCAGCCTGCGGACTGAAAGGTCCCGGATTCGATTCCAGTCAAGGGCATGTACCTTAGTTGCGGGCACATCCCCAGGAGGGGGTGTGCAAGAGGCAGCTGATCGATGACTCTCTCATCGATGTTCCTAACTCTCTATCCCTCTCTCTTCCTCTCGGTAAAAAAATCAATAAAATATATTTAAATAATTATTTTTTAAAACTATTTTGTAATTGTCTTCCCCCCAAACCGAATATAAATTTTCCCAGGAGGACAAAGACCTTATCTTGGGCACCACTGTCTTCCCACTCCTAGAAAATGCCCAGCACACAGTTAAGAATTG